GATCAAATAAATGATATCATTGGATGATATTTTTAGAATAGATTCTAAAAATAGCATCAAAGTGTGCACATGATGGGGCACGGGGACTGCTTCTCTTAGTTCATTTTCTCTTGGTAGTAGTCAAGTCAATGACGGCATCGTGCAGACGTCCTATTGGGAARGCATTACGCCGAAGTGAATTTGGTCTATCATTCGCATATCCTGTTTCTTATTCTCTTTCCCTCTCTCTCTGCCGTGGTCTGTCGCGTTGAATATCCTTCACAGTTCCCTGCGCCATCTTGAAAGGTAACCATGCCTGTGTGTATCGAAGCGAGAACGGCGCTGACCTTGCAATTATCTGGATTGGAGAGGTTCTTTAACACCTTGGGCAATTATTTAAATGTCTCTATCATTGCAAGGCCCACAACCAACAATTTTAAATCTACTGCGAATTACTCAGCCCTCTCCCACCCCTCCCCCAATGAAAAAAATCACATAGCTGTCCCTTATCAGACTTCAGTTCTAGCTCTAACAAATTGCGTATCTTTGAAACGCGACTTTTCGAAAACGGATACGTGTGGACGTGCAAAAAAAAAAGGAAAAAGAAAGGAAAAGAAAAAAAGCTTCGTATGACGCTGTACGGGAATTTTTTAATAGTGAAATGAAAAAAAATATGTAAAAGAACCCTTAGCTATAGAGTGAAATTACTTGCGCGCCTAAACATAGTAAAGTTCTTTGGCAGCCTTATCTGTTGTCATGTTGACTGTGGTTTGAGTTTTTGAGTATTATACATAGCATTAGACACTTCCAGCAGTAAACAATCCCATTGTTTTGTAAGTGGAGTACCGACCTCTTTTAAGTCCTTACCTACGAACCACGTAACATACAGTACAAGTTTATATTTATAGAGAAGTTTTTGTATGACTGTGAAAACCTCACGGCATGGGATACGACAGACTAATCACACCGCTCGAAAATTTACTCTCCATCCAATCAAATACACGGAACACGGCATAAAACCGGCGCAGACACGGTCACGCCAAGGTCATGGCACTGTCAGACCAATCACATTGCACGAAAAAAAATCAGCCAATCAAAATTCTAGAAAGCATCACGGTCGCGGCAAGGCACGCATACGGCACTGAGCTTTTCACAGTCGTACGAAAACTGCACTACTGTAGTCACTGCTTAAGTTTTTATTCCCGTGAAGTACATGAAGACAAGCTCTTGGCCAAGCGAGACGGCATCGAATATTATCCTGTTTGTAAGGTGAGGACTGATTGGCTGCGTTTCGATTAATTTGATCGAAAAGTTCGTTATTTATCACCGTTTGCCATAGTGTAAGCTAGACGTAATTCAGCCTATGACTGCTATGTTTTTAGTCAATAAACTATCTATCTATCATCTATCGTTCATTGAATAGTTATATACCTGTTAGTTTTAGCTATTATACAGAATATAAGCTTAACATTAATAGAGGGATTAAGATTTCCGTTTTTCCTTTCCGCCATCGGGGAAGCCAGGCTTTTATCGGCGTTTCCCTGCATCTCGCTTTGCTTTTTGCAAACCTTCTCACCAAATGACAAATTATTTTGTTTTTCTACTTACTACTTGATCAAAAAATTTTGCGATTTCTCTTCATAAACTTTTTTTTTTAACTTTTTTTTAAACTTTTTTTTTACTGGTCAACGTTTCCGTTTCACTAAACCAAATTCTTAAAGCAAAAATTTTATTCGAAAATGAGGTTTATAGGCTTTCATTTGCTTATTTCCCATATATTTTCTATAAAAAAGCCTAACAAAGCAACATTCTAACACTCATCAAAGCAACATTCATCTTTGTACAATTGAAAATACCGCTTCAAACAGGCATTTTATCATAATACATAAGTTTCTAACTGTTTAAAAAAGGTTTTGAGTGTTAACCCAAAACGAAAATTGGGATCAAAACTCATACGAAAGTCCAGTAGTTTTTGGCGCTTTTTGCCATTATTGCTCATTATTGAAAAAATTTCCTCTTAATTTAATTATTATTATCACTTTTGTTTTCTAATTCTGACGAATTTTTGTTTTGGCGCTACACGTTAAAGTCTTGCTTTCAATAGTGTAATCACTGCTCACATATTCAGCCATGATTAGCTTATTTCGTAAGGTTAGTCAGTTGATTTGCAACGTCAGTATCTGTTTTCTGGATGTTGAATCTAGGTTTTAAAACGTGTTAGTTCTTGTTATGATTAAATCCCCTAGGGCGCCGCAATGGTGGTTCTCATTTAAGAACACGTGTCATCCCCTTGAAAAGTTTAGATTTTGATTATTGCAGCGCAGTATGGGATGGATGCAACAAAGGTCTCGCAGATAAACTACAGAAGCTTCAAAATCATGCTGCGCGAATCATAACCTTCTCAAACTATAATGCACGAGCGAATGATATATTTCGTAGTTTAGGCTGGGTACCCTTACAACAACAAAGGGCTTTTGCCAAATCACTAATGATGTTCAAAACTTTAAATAACCTGACTCCAGATTATCTTTCTTCAAAATTTATTGATCGTAGCAAGGTAAATAAATACGATTTAAGAAACAGAACGTAATTAGATAGTTCTGCCCCTGCCACGGACGAATTGTTTTWAAAAAAAAGCTTCAGTTATAGGGGTGGCTTTCCCTGGAASAGTTTACCAAATGAACTGAGAACAGCTACAACTATGAAAGTCTTTTAAATCTTTAATGCTACAACATAAAATTTAACCATCAGGCACGGCATCCTTGTAAAGCAGGTTTTTTTTTTCTTTTGAGTAATACATACTATTTTATAACTGTAAATACATATATAGTTTAGT